TTGCACGTAACCAGCCTTGATTAGGATGTGAATATTTTTGTAGAAGAGTTGCAAATATTGCAAGCAATCAGTTTAAAAATTTTTTGAATTCTCGAATAATGCACAAGAAAGCCTATAACTATTTTTGTAGGCTGTTAGACATTTACTTGCATTGCAAGATGATGTAACAATCAAAGTGGAATATGCACCAAATGAATTTGAAAGGATTCGAAATAGTCCTTTGGGTGACAATTTTTATATTAGGTTCGTTGTTCACACCCTAAAATATATGCTACTTTTGTCAAAAAGATTACAGAATTTATTAAATACTGTTAGGCTTGAAATTAACAATTAACAGAATTTATAGGATTTTTATATGCCATCTTTCTTTTGCATTAAAATTCAAGACATTTCTATTTGTTCACTTTGATTACTTGAAAATAACTCTTATTATACAAGTTCACAAAAAACGCAAAATTGTTTTGAATTTTTTACTACGCAGTTAGTAAAAATACGTATTGTATCCAAAATACTGTAACGTAAATTAGTATTAAAATATGACAATAATTGGACAGACATGTTTTGTAGAACACATTTTGCTCACCAAAAATCATCCAATCATTTGGAATTATCATTCCATAACGGTGATATATTCCATATCACTGATACTCTTTTTGGTGGAACAGTTGGATTCTGGCAAGCTACACGTGTTTATTCTGCTGCAGATAGTGCCAATTATGGCCAAAATGATAATTGCAAAGGTGTCATCCCAAATTTAGAAACGTAACTTTTTACGCAATTTTTTTTAAGCATAAATTTTTCAGCAATTATTTTAGAAAGTGCAACTTTTTTTCAACAATTTGACATTTGTGGCACTTTTTAAAATTTTTCACCAAATCAATCAGTATTACTTGGAAGTAATTTTTCGAAGGTACAAAAATTGTGAGTAGCAATTTCATGAGTAAAATAAATATATTTTTCTATTTAAAATTGTTTGTCTATCGAAAATTCGCTTCAAAGAAAATGCATTAATTAGGCTTTGCTTTCAATTGTGTTTTTTTTTTCTGAAAATTTGAAATTAGTTGATTTTGTATGATTTTTTTTCAAAAAAAAGGCATTTTCAAGGGCCGAGATGTTAGCAAAAGCAGCACGAGCTGATACTTCCACATGTGGTCGTTCCACGTTTTTCCGTCGAAAATTGAAAGAACGACGCACAAAGTCATTGACGAAAAATGTCATAGATGACGTGACTTTTGAAAATACGTGTGATATGGCTTTTCCAGCTTATGAACGGGTCACCTTAAAACATCCACAGTTTCAGAGGTCAGTTATGGCAAACAATACAGTAGTAAAAATTATTCTGCGTATATGAAAAATTTTTTACACCTTTAATAATTGTTGTGCATAATTTTTTATTATTTTTTTGTGCAATCATTTTTGCTCAAATCTTAGGAATTTCTGACAACAAATTCTTATCATATCTTACAGTGCTAATTTGAATAATCAATAAATGAAAAGTTATCGTTTAAAATTCAGCTAATCAGTCAACTTTTGATAATAGCATTATCATCCGATTAGCCGTTGCAATCATCAAGTAATCCCACAACTAGGATAATATTTTCAGACCACTTGTTCTCTTTGGTCCATTGGCAGATATTGCTCGCCAACGGTTATTAACTAATTTTGCTCTTCGATTTTCGGGTATTGCTGATGAAAGCATTATGCGATTAAGTGCTATCGATGCTGTTATCAATGCAAATAAAGTATATTTACTCGTGAAAAAAATTATTTAGAAAGATTTATTAAAAATTCTATTAAAATTATAAAAAAGTTATCAAGATTGAGTTTTCAGAAAGTTCGAAAGGTTAATAAAAAATTGTAAATATTTTCACAAATTATTTTATCATTAATTTACAGCACTGTGTACTGGATGTTAGTCCAGGCTCTGTGGAACGTTTGCAACTTGCGCAATATGCACCAATTGTTATTTTTATTGATGTTGAAAGTAGAAGCAGAATACGTGATTTACGTAGTAAAGCTGGTGCTTCTACTACTTCTTCTAAAAAGCTTATGGAACAAGCACATAAAATTAAAAAGCATTATTCGCATCTCTTAACAGGCATAATTAACAATATATTTCTTTACATTTATCAAGTTATTGAAATTTACTTTGCTAAAAATGAATATATTAAAATGATTTTATTTTTGTAGCAAATTCAAAAATTGTAATATTGGAAATAAAATTGCTAAAAAGTATAAAAATATTAGAATCCTCTATGAACAACTTTTATTAAGATTTCACTCAGTTGACTGTAGCTTTTTACATGAAATTATGCAGTTTAATTCTTTACTTTCAAAATAAATTGCAATTTTATGCAATTGCTTTACTTTTTTAAATTTTCACTCAAAAAAATGACTATTTTAGATATATTTGGACAAATAATAATAACAGTAATATTAATTTATTATATTTATTACATCTTTTATGAATAAAAAAATTTTTTCAGCAACCTTAGATGCAACTAAAGAAGATGGTTGGTTTGAAGCACTGCTACAGTTAATTGCACATTTGCAAGATCGTCGAGTATGGATGCCTGAATTTCGACCGCTCACTAATTTAAACGATGTTATTTTATTACCAATGCACTGTTTTCATAATCCTAGCGATTCTGACGTTGATTCAATTAAAGGGGTTAGTTTTCGTGTAACTTCTGACTGGTAAAATAATAAATGCTATTCAAAATTACAATAATTTCACGCTGAAAACATGCTGGCAATGGCGACAATTACATTTCCAGTCATGCAATATCAATTATACAAAAATAAAATTGTATTTGTGTACTGTGATATTTATTGTTTCTATTCAAATATACATTTAATTTTTGATTAATATTTTTTAAGGAATATTCAACAAGTGAATATCTCACAAGATCACAAGTTCAATTAGAAAAAGGTGATCCTCATGTGAAGTAAGTTTAATTTTAAGACATTATTTATGTTTTTTGTGCATAATACTAATTCATTTGAACTTTGCAATATTCAGTAAAAATAAACCAACAATCCTTTCTGTTTAAATGATTTTATAGTTTTATACAATTCATACAAATTTATCTCTTAATTACCCGCTGTATAATTCATACAAATCTTTTTTTGTCCTAACTTTTTTGTTGCATAAATTATAGAAATTTTAGAAAAATAATAAATTAGTGTAATTTTTCAAAGTTTATGCCTTAAATAGATTGCGCATACTTTTTTCCTTTACTTATCCGTTAAATTTATGTAACGGATAACTCAGATATTTTTTTTCCCCCAAATATTCATATTTTTCGCATCAAAGTGTACATTTATTAAATCTACACTGCTACTATGCTACTTTTCATAAATTATGTTGAGGTATGGATTAGACGTCAAAATTTCTAGTGCTTTTAGTGTTTTTTATTAAATGATTATTGGAAATAAAATAAGGATGACTTACTTTTCTCAAATATTAAATTTAAATTTCAGACTTGGATATGACGAATTTGATCCAAAATATCAGCGTTCACTTCGATTAACGCCGTCACATTTAAACCCTAATAATTATCCACCGCCGCCATCACCAGCAGCGCCAGGAATGTTAGCATCAAGAGGCACTTTTTATCAAAATGTTTATCCGTGTGAGCCTTTATCACAGTATTCTTCACGTGTACAGCTTACATCTCCATGTATTAACCCCACGGCACAACAATTACCATCATCTGTTCAACGTAATTATTACTTTGATACACCAACATCGTCTACATCATCTATACCAACTTGGGCAACATTACCTCGTCGACAAAATAATCATATCGTTGATACTTTTCCAACAACAACAATTACAGAACCAGGCATTTTGACCCGAACTATTACTAACACTCCTATTATAAAAACAACAGCAACAATAACAACAAGTACTACCACTACTACTACTACAACTACTACCACTATTACTAATCGGCTTTTAAATTATTCACAGTCTATTTTAACCCGATGTAATCCATCTCAGTTTGTTATTCAACAGCAACAACAGCATTCGCCAGTTGCCCAACGGCAACAACATTTTAGACAACGCAATATATTACAGTCATCTTCACTACGTCAAAGTCCTCAAAAGTCATCGGATAAAGCATCACCACCTCAAGTATCAGCTGATACTTATCACCCTGGAGGCTCTTCAAAAACAGCACATGAAGATGATATCATTTCTTCTACTATGGCAATCAGTAATAACTGTAATACAATGACTACAAATATTATTACAGACATGAATAAAAATCGTCGAATCAATCTTGCTATTCCAGAAGCTGCAGACACTGTAACCGATAACAATATGCCATCTGCCTTCCACGATATGAAACAGGTTTGTTTGTTTGTTTGTTTTTTCATAGATCAAAATACAATAATTAAATGATTTTACTTTCTATGATAATTTAACTTAGTTTTATTCAGATTGAACTTGAAAAAAGTACAGTGAATGCAAGAAAAAATCAACAAAGTCATTATCAGAATGCTGATAACTCGTCTTCGTATGCTGTTAATAATCATTTAAATAGTGTTAAGAATCATATGAATCATACAGGACAACCAGGATTATTTTATGATCATTTGACAAGGTTAGTCACAATTCTTACTTTCACATTTTATAATTAGATAGGTATAAAAATTTGTACAGTTTTACTATACAAAGTACTAAAGGTTTATGATCTTCTGATATAAAAAAGATGATAATCCATATAATAATAATGCACATATCTGTGTATAAATATACAAGATGCTTTTAAAGTATATAAAAATCTTTTGCTGTCGGGATTTTGCTACGGTATTGAATCGTAATATTACAGTTTTTGAAATACTTTGCCCATTTGTCGATGAATTTTAGGGACCGTTGGATGTGTAATCAAAGTGATAGGCGATTGAATACGCCGCATCAAGCAACATATGAAAATTCATCACCTCGTGTACCAACAAGTGAAGAATTATCATTTTGTGCTAAAAACTTCAATATGAATAGGTATTTAATAAGCGCTGTCTTCTTTACATTTAAAATTATTCAGTTAATCCCGGATTAACTTAATTCTTTCAATATATAATTTAGTAATCAAGAAAATAAATTCATTAATTCAACTGAACATTTTTCAAGTTTTATTTCATTGTACTCAATTTCTTGTGTAAACCACTTCATTCTCTGTTTAAATGAATTTATTAGATAAACTTTTTGATAGGAATCATTTCATTTTTAGTCTCATTCAATTTATGTCTTTGATTACAGTAGTATTCAATGATGGTATTGCAGAAATGAAGTTGAAATGATATATGGTACAAGTACTGATAATTGTAGCACACAGTCAACACATGCTTCTGTAGCAACAACTGAAGTAGATAGCTTATCAGAATGTATTAATACTGAAAATATGAAATTAGACGAAGTGAATAATGGAAGAAAAAACTATTCTGATACAACAATCATTGAACACATTACCGATATAATTGGTGCACGTGGTGGTACCCTGAATTGTCCAAAAACGGGTGTTTCATTAATCATTCCCGAAGGAGCAATAAATGAAGGAGTATGCTAATTTTTTAATCATTATAACATATATACTCATTATCTAAATATTTTTACGATTTCGCATAGTTAAATAATTATTTCTCAAAATAATAACAAAATACTGCAACAGTTTTGATATGATTTTTATCATTATAACTGGATATGATACGAACAGAATTAATTTACTGTTTTTTTACCATGAATCAAAACTGTACAATCTTTGTATTCTTATTTTCAAAACTCTTGTTTATATCTCACAAATGACCACTATGATTAAAATTTTGCTAAATTTTAGTTCAATTTACAAGTGAAATTTGTTAAAATTGTTTTTTTCCAAATTTCATGCAATATTTAAGCTATGAAATTTTATGCTTTCAGTCAATGCAAGAAATTTATATAAAAGTTTGTCGAGCTAACGAAGCTGAAAGTCAACCGCCTTTAGATGAAAGTCGTGGTGAAAGTTTGATGAGTCCCCTTGTAATGTGTGGCCCGCAAGATCTACAGTTCAATGTACCAGTTGAACTAAGGTTGGTAATATACTAATACAGACTTCAATTATTATCTATATGGCACATTCACACAATTGAAACATTACAAAAATTTCTGGAACGATGAATTTTAATGAAAATAATAAACTATATTTCAAAAGTTCGAAGTTAATTTTAGGAATCAAAAAATTTCATTAAGTTTAAGCACACTTAATATATTTTCAGAAACCAAAAATTTTACTTGATTAGTTACATTTTTAAACCATTTCTATTTTGATCATGGGAAAATATGTTAACTTTTCAGATTACCTCATTCAGTTTCAAATAATGCTGACAATTGGTCATTAGCTTTGAAATCATGCGATGGACAGCACTGGGATCAAATGGCCTTAGATAGAAATACTTCATCAGCAGTGACAGATAACTATGTTTCAATCAAAATTAATCATTTTTAAAGAACTGTATAGTATCACTTTTATTTTTCTGTTCATAAATTGTATTTTTTATGCAGCCATTTCCCAATTCACATTTCCACTTTTAAAAATCAAAACTTTCAACTGTGAACAAATTTTTATTGTCCTATTATTTGCTACTGTATTTGTATTAACGTTAATATCTTAGATCATTTAAAATGAATTTTATTGCTTTTTGTATTTTTGGTACCAAATATGGAGCAGTTTCTGTTTTTATTACTTGTTGTGCAATAGCATTTTTGTAGTAACTTAATTTAATGTATAACATTTTAGTGCATTTATATCATAATTTGGTGCAAAATTATTTAGGAAGATGAATATCATCAAAATTACGTTACCTTAATTTAAATGTACTGTTCATTTGTAATTTTTTGTTGTAGAACAAACTTTCTAACTTTGATCAATTTATGCTTAATTTACTTATTCGTTCATTACGTATGAGATTAATTTCAAAAAACAGTAATATGCTTTATAGAAATCTAGCATAGCGCTTACTTAAGCTAACTTAAAGTTTAAACAGATGATCCAAACAAGTCCAGCCGTGTTACAATTTGCACTGTTTACAGCAGACAAGAAATATTGTAATCACTAAATTATCAAACCTGCTAATATATTAATGTGTGTCATAATCAACGATTTGTTTGACCGATTAGTATTTGTTCAATCGATTGCTGTCTTTATTGTTGTATAGAAATGCCACTTATTTTTCTTTTTTCGAATTGTTCTTCGTTGAGATTTATATATTATTTTAGGCACCTAAGTCATGTATTTTTCAATTTTTTATGTATAATAAATGAAAGAAACATTCCTTTTTTGCCTTTGCATGATGAATCTGTGAGATAAAATTTGTATGAATTGATAATATTAAAAACAAATTTGGAACTGATTGGAGTTTAATAAATCTCTTTCCTTTTAAATTAGATATTTCAAATTTGATTACTTCTAATTTAGAGTTTGTCATTAATTTCGGTTATTTATCTCAAAATGCTACAATTTTTTGGCGCTCAAATACTTTTTTAACTATATCTCTTGGCTGTTTTCTTCAGCACTCATAGATACCATATAGATACTAACATCTAATTTTAAAAATAAACCTCAAAAGCGGTTGAGCTTATTTTTAAAATTATAAAACCTCAAAATAGCGAATCAGTAGATTTATTTTGCAAGCCTAATGGACTAATTATGCTATTAATTTTCTGATGAATTTACACGTGATATTACACCATAGTTAAAACACGTGATATCACACCAAAGCTAAAAAGTGTCATTATTGTTTAAGAGTTGACATGCGCAGCCATCAGATTGATTGCATGTGCGATTCCATTTTGCCACAGACTTCAGATTGTTTCGGTACTGCTAGAATAACAACATTCCATCACTTTTTTGAATTCGTATGTTCGCACTGTTCTTCTTTTTGCAAACATCTTTTAACATCTTGACTGATATCAATCATCATGATATACATATAAGCCTACGCTATTTAGCACTAATAATTATTACTTGTACAACCACTTACAAAGCTATTACTACTTACTGCTACTGTAAGCATGCTCTGGTACCAACTACTGTCGGTTACTATCACTAGTCCATATGCAATTACTACTATACTAGCATTATAAGTTTTTCACATATGCTACATTCTAATTTCTCACATTTAGACATATACATATATACACGTAAACATATGCATAGCGCAAAAATATATCCACATATATGTTGTTGTACTCACAAATCTTTCAATGACACAACATTACAAGCATAGGCGTCAACTGACAAACTGTATACAGCATTAATACATAAACCAACTGTTTAAGTGAAAAGCTCGCACAAACGTGCGCACACATAACAAACAAACAAACACCTTCTTGTTTTCATCCGTATAAGCACATCTAATCGTATTCAAACATTTGCACATCTATAAATCCAAATAATCTGTAAGTAATAAGCATACACGCTTACACTCAAACGTGTACCAACTTGCACGTACTCTTTATATTCATTATTTAGAATGGTATTACGTGAGATTCATATGAGAATAGAAAACAATTGTAGCAGTACTAGCAAAAGCATACGAGCGAAAATG